GAAAGCCCTAAGGGAGAATGAAGCCACTTTAGATTCACATCAGGAAGTTCCTTTGAATTCTATGAAATAGCTGTTCAGATTAGACCTTAAAGTTTAGCAAATCTTATCTCATTTGGTAGAATGCACTTTTGTTGCCTATTTTAGAATTGCTGAATAACAGCATACAGTGATTTTTTTGCTGTAGTCTCAAGGAAATCTGAGTCGGGAGGGGGGGGGGGGGGGGGGGTTAATAAATTGCTGTACCACAATACAACACCCTTGGGATCCCCCTTCCCTTTACCCTTTTCATTGCTAAGAAGAGCTTTTCATGCCACAGAAGGCACATAGAATGACGTAGCTGTGGAAACGCCACAATATTCCTTTTTCGTCTCATGACGTCTGATGAGATGCGCCAAATTTTCCCCTTAACATCCAATCTACATCGCGTTGCATATTTTTCGATTGATTACCTATTCCTTGCCCTTATCAAGTTTCAAATCTACAATTCAAGACGAGACGCTAACCCAATCTCTCTCTACCCAGTTAGATTGTCTTGTTAGCTTGTCGTCTTTTGTTTCTTTCAACTTCCCTGTCTCCCTCTCTCCCTCTCCTTCCTCTCTTTTTTTAAATCACGAGCCGTTTTCTCTTTACCTGGCTGCCAATGACCATAGATGACCGGAGGGGATACCCCTTTAATAGAAAAAAATAGATTCATGGAAAAAATGGGGCAAGGTTTGGTTATAGGCTCTTTTCTTTCAACACTGTTTGTACAATTGATCCAAGTCCTTATTTTCAAATTCATTGTAAACACTTATAAGCACTCATTATTCTGGCCACTGTATTGAACTCTATTTAAAAAACAGCCGCAAATGCCATCGTGTATTGTACAGACAAAATAAAGAAGGGTTTCAAAAAGATACGTACAATTAGTGAACATACAATACATTGAATTGAGAATAAAATTGACTTTTCCTTTATCCACATGATTTGTTCTGATGATTTGGGAACTAATTGTTATCATTAAAAGAGCAATAAACCTATTTCAATGCAAGATTAACCATGAAATAGTAGAAATTGAAATATATCTCGACCTAGCATGGTAATTCTTCTCTCATGTTTTCTAAAAAAAAAATGAAATTGGGGATGATGTATAATACAATTTGATTTTAATGTTGTGCAAGAATATTTTGCAATTTCTTCGTAGTTATCACAAAGATTTCTAAAGATGTTTTTTGCATCTTAAAGCTAAAGACCAGTTATGGTCATGCAATTGCATAGTGAAAGAAACATTGTGAAATCAATCAGAAAAGGTTGATCATCTAGCATAGATGTACTGCAAGGTTCTGGAATCATCAAAATTATAAGAAATTTGGCCAAGTCTTCATAAAGTTAGAAGCACTGTACACAGAAAGATGTATATGGGACTACACACACGTGCGCAACACGTGCATTTGTATCTCTCAACAGTATATAGATATACTAATTTACCAAATATATAAATTGGTAGGCGGTTTCCCGTCAACATTTTTATCGTCATGTACTGTTCAAAACATATTCTTTCACATGATTGGTAATTAGAGCTTCCATTTCATTTTTTGAAATTGGGATGTTTCCAATACTGGTCTTTACCTTTAATAAAGGAATACACCATCCGGAATCCAATGATTTTGAATGTCAAATGGTAATGGCTCGAGGTTCTCTTGAAAAATAAAATGGCCAGGGATTAAACATAATTCGCATATCATAAATCATGACAGATTCATGACACCTGTTACAGATTAAGATAAGACACTGCTGAGAATCAAGCGATGAAGTTCTTTCATTTTATCTGTTGATGAATGTCTGTTGAGCGCCAGAAGGGTATTAACTCACATATCTAGCATAGATGTAATGCCTTTCTTGCTCTCAGCCCATATGGTATGTATTGCATTCTGTCCATCTTTTAAGATTTGATCTTATATTCTACCAGGATTAAGAGGTAATATTGGGTTCTGCTTAAGAACAAAAATATATATCAGACCATCAAAGAAAGTCATTGAACTAGAGATTACCCTATAATAAAAGGCTGTCCAGCTGAAATAAAATAGAACGATTTCTGTTTGTTATAGCCAGAGCTAGAAGGGCATTAACACCCTGAACAATAATATACATTAATGCCCTATTGGTTCTCACTTGGCATTTGACCTCTTATCATATAAAATAAATTATGCAATTTTTAACAGCATGAAATGATTGAAGCTAATACCTAATGCCCTTCTGTGTCCTCACAACAGGCCCGATGACCTCTTATGGTAGCAGAATTATTCAAAGGTTGATACTACTTTTAAGCAGAGCTGATGTTTTACCGAGAGCTTTTTTTCACCCGATTACGTAGCCTTCATGCTCACTTGGTTCACACACCTGCATGTGCTCTGGAGAAAAGAAATCAATCGATTCCCTTTCCATGTTGTCCCAAGATGAATTTAAACTTAGCAAGACAACTTTTGAGCAGACATTTCCTTTCCTTTTTAACATATTTCTCAAAATCATTTGGAAATATTGTACGACTTGAGGAGTTTTTTTTTAAAGGTCTCTATTTACTTTTTGGAAGGAGTTATTTATCATAATAATTGCTCTAAAAATAGAGAGTAATTAAACTGTCATACTATGCAATAATCCTATCATCTGCTGAGAGGCAGAAGGGAGAGTAATTCTTTGCAACAAGGATTTGAGTTACTACCCTTCTGGTACTCAAAAGACAATTTAATCTGTAGTTCCAGATAAATAGTTAAAGGGATATTTCAAAAGATATCAACTGATGATCATGATACTCAGTGAATAAGCTTTACCTATCATTTAAAGGAATATTTTTTTGAAAATTGAAACTCACATTTTATTTCCTTCTTATGTACTGGCAATATGTTTAACTTAAGGTGTAAAGTGCCTTTAAAAACAATTATTTTGATTGTTTTTGTCTCCTTAGTTATTTTCATGCGTGTACTTCACCATGCACCTTGTTTTCTCTCAATATTCCACCACTTTTTTTAATAAATAAATTCATCATATAGAAGTCAGGAAATTAAACTAAGCCATCAAAAACCTAAATTAAACTCTATATTGTCAAGCTATGACCTTATAAAGTTAATGCATTGAAAATGTTTATTTTAAGGGTCATGAATTTGAATTACCATATTTTGCTCAGGCTTAAAGCAAATTTGTCAAAAGTGCAAATTTTGTATAGATCAACTCAAAAGCTTTTCAAAAATATATAGTTTGTTGGGGTACAGGTACCTGCTATGAATTATGTGCTTGATTATATACCTGGAGTGGTTTGGGCCTGGTAATAGGGCACCTACCACCTTAATAACATGTTTGGAAAATACCTTCTTTTGCACCTTATTAAAGAGATAGGGGAAGAAAAGAAAAGGAGTAGATGAGAAAAAGGAGATGAAATTTAGGCATTGGATGATAAATAAATTCAAGTCACAGGATGTACATGTATTTTTGTAAATTTAAATTTTTGCAATTTAGGTTATCGTATAATATGAGGTGTTTGAATACAACTAAAATTGATGACAGAATAAAAAAAAGCAAACATAAAAATATGTTGAAGATATATGAGAAAAGGAAAGGATAGTTGGTCAGAAATTAAAATCTCTCGTTTCAGAGATGGCATTAGCATTTGATCTTATGGATCAAAGTAATCCGCATTATTTGCACGACACCATCTCGTTTCTCTCCCTGAGGTATAGTAGGCACAAAAGACAGACAAGCCTAATTTAGGCTAACCCTATTCCTCTGGGTGATATCTTATCCTCTCTTATGCTCGGCTGCCTGAATCCTTTGAAATCGTTCTCGTGGAATATCCATCTTCTAACCAGAACATTGACCCCAAGAGTTTTGTCCTCTTCACTTTGCCGACAGATTCCCATCCACCATACCTCCCTCCCTCCATCTCACTTTCTTCCCTCCTCCTCCTCCTCCTCCTCCCTCGCTCGGTTGCCCATCATCTCTCCCTCCCTCTTCCTGCATTTGACAATGTCCTGGTTTTTATTTGCCATGAATTCTGCATTGTTTCATGCCATTGCTTTGCTGGAGGCAGGCTTGGCAGGCTCAGCGATTGCTCCGTATATTGTCTTTGTCCATCAGGATATTTTTCTCTCATCTGAATAATTTGCTGCTGATGTCCTCCCTACCCCATCGCTGGTAATGGTTGGGACTCTGTCTACCAATGCCTCCTGATCTTATATTTGTGATTTCTTCTTGCACGATCTTTACGGTACACTCAAGTTTTACTTGCCTATACCTTGATAACTGTGTGTAGACTTGAGATTGATCCATTGTGGATGGTAGGGGAGCTTATGAACTCTTCTATTGAGGGGTAAGAAAGCCCATCATTGCTGAATAAAAAGAGAAGGTGCAGTGTAAATAACCAATCAGCATGGCAGTGTAGTTGTATCTAATTGAATCGAGGTACACCGGACACATGGCCAACCGTCCGAAGTAAAATGCAATCATCATGCGTCCATGGTGACGGATGCTCCCAGTTCGAATTTACTTGCTGGGTTGAGCTCGATGCATAATGTGATGTCACCGATTTAACCTTTTTTCCTGAGTGACTCTTTTATCTCCGTGTCTCGCACTGAGTGAAGTTTTCTCGTGATTGCGTCACTGCTGTCCTCGCCGGCATGGAAGGCTGGACTCGACGTCGTTCCCTGTCGTCGACGGCCTCGCGCCGGACGTCGGCGTCGACATCGCGCCGTGCATCCACCTCGTCTCGCCGTCGACCGTCGACGCTCCCTCCTCTGCCTCAGCAGACGGAGATGGAAAGCTGGCTCGCCCAGATGTCGCCCAGCACCGACGTGGCAACCCCGCCGGATCCGACCCCACCGACGCCCGACGATGATATGAAATGCTCGTGGCATATCGGACGTACTACCACTAAAGTGGCACCTGTTGAGGATGGTCTTAAATACATGCTTGTTGAAGTGTTATACTTCACTAGAGTAATGATTCCTGATAACGCTTGTTTATCTCCCCAGGGTGCACGCAGAGAATCACTCTCAAGATTCAGTACATCCTGCCCTCTCCTCACCGAGGACAAGCCTGAGGTCGAAGGTCAGTTAAACATTCATTTATTTTACTAACATCCAAGTTAACTTCCTCATGAACACAAAGACATCATCTTAATCACCAATTTTTCTTTGATTTGCTTCATAACAAACATACCGCTTCAATTGAATTATTATAGGAACTTTTGATGTGACTTTTCCTTTAAGGCTTTTTTCTGTACACATAGGCTACTTCCTTGAGCTACTCGTAGTGAATCATGCATAAATTATGATGATTAACATATCAAAAGTTCAAACTTTGGTCAACTCATCTCATTTACATTCTCATATATTACCACCATTGTTTCATTTTACATTCTTGTTCTTGTTTACTTATTCCTTCTAAATACATTTATTTGGTATTATTTCTATTTTGAATGAGTGTCTGCTTGTGTTTGCCTATTTTTTTATTCTTCTATTTCATCTTTTCATTTTTGTTTTCATGCTTTTTTTAAAGGCAGTATAGTTTATTTATTAATGAATGCCCCTTGCATGTTCTAAGCATATTCTTGTCATTCCATTTGATGTCTAGTTTCATATTTCTCTGATTGTGATAGCCAAGTTGATTGCTTAATAGCATTTGATTGTGATAGCCAAGTTGATTGCTTAATAGCATGTACATAAGTTCACTTTGACATAATTTGATTGAGATATTGAATTGCAAAAGTACAATCAACTCTGGTATTTTGCCTTTCCTGCCTCTGTGTTTTAATATCTTCATTAGATAGCGATATGATGCTTTTGAAATCCAGTGTGGTTTTATTCTGAATTCAAAGTAAATTCACAAATGGAAATCCTTCTGTGGTGAATATATTATCATATATAAAGGTTATCCTGTTTAACCTTTTCATTTAATTTATTTGTTTTGAGGGATTAAACAGTTATTAATACCTGTCCCATGGACAACAAGATAACTAAGAAAGCAAATATTGAGTGTTAAGAAAGAGAGAATATTTGTGTGTGATAATGGCCATTTTTGTGCACAAGAAAAGAGAAATGAAAGAAATAAGTTATCAGAACCAGCAGCCAGTCATTTTGTTTTTAAAATGCCATTATTTAAAAGCATTTCAAGTATAGATTGATGCACTTTGTGATGACTTGAACTACAAATTTTTTCACATTTATTCATGAATCCACCTTAATTTACTGAAAATGTCTAGGCAATCGGTATACTATTAGGTGAAAATATGCTTCTACTCAATTTCTTTTTTCTTTTAAGTATTGTGTCCTTAGTATATTGGGGATACCGACATTTCCCTAATTATTTAACTTCTTAAGACAAACATTTCATGCAGCATTGCTTTGTATTGGTTACCTTGAAGTCACCAACGATTTAATCATAGCCAGAGACTTAGGATTGATAGATACACTCTGCTACCTTTAAACTGGCCCTTTTAATTATTTAAATACATTTTCTACATCTGAATATATTTATCAATTTCTACAAAGCTCAAATCGTTTTTTGAATATCTCATGCAATTATTGTAGAAAAGTACTAAAGGGTACCGATGTTTGTTGTATGTTTTGTTGTGTGTAGTTTTAGTTTGGTTCTTCTTCTTTGTCATCTCATTTGTTGTAATCGAATGTGATTAATGACATACCCTGAAGCTAGCCGCTTTCCAGAATGCCGAGCGGAATTAGAGCTCTCCTCTCTCTGTCTGACTCTCTTTCTATTTTACAACCGTTCATTTTCCAAGAAGAGTTTTTTTGTGGTTTTTATTCATTCCAGTACCCCTTTTCCTCTTCTGATCATCTTGAATGTACAACTGTTTTTATTTTCCATTAGCCTTCCATTCAACAACCCCAAGGCTTTTCTTTTAACTTTGATTATGCCAATGTCTGTTCTTTTATTTCTATCACCATTCATTGTGATTGTATGATTTTATAAATACAAATATTCCCCCTACGAAATAACGTTCTTTCAAAACAGATAGTTTATTTTGCATATTCTTAAATGTATAATGTATGTGTGAGTAACAACCTTCTCTAAAGGTATGTGTTTCTTCTTGTATTGTTGATCACGAATCAACAGCATGTTTCAATAATATTTATATCTATAGAATTCATCTAAGTAATGAAAGATTTTGCTCAAGAAAACATACAAGTGTTGTTTTTTCTTTAATAATGTTGAATCCAAATGTACAGTATCAGCGAATCTAGAAATATATGTATATGAAGTTTACCTGTGATGTTCCATGGCCATCATGTCACCAATTAAACATAGACTGATGTATTATGACATCTCTTCCCAAAATAAGATCCAACTATCCATTTACCAAAAAGCTCAAAGCTTACTTTTTCTGTCTAAATGTTTGAAGCAAATCCCCAGATGTTATATTTTCAAAGATAGGTCTTACTAGATACATGACATGCAAGAGAAAGAGTGTGGGAGTCGTCATATCATCTTTCTTCCATGATGCCTTCCCTGATGCCTTCCATTCTCCCTTTTCTCTCTCTTAAAATGTTCTCTTATTGATGAGGGGGGGGGGGGTGTATCTTGTATCTAAGCCTCTGGCCCTATCCACAGATTTATGGCATCTTCTGTTGGAGTACAATTAGAAATCAAAAGAGATGAAATAGTTGTACGTGCAAATAATATTGACCAGAATAAATTCCAATCATTTTTAACCAAGAAATGTTCACAATGAGTTGATTTTTTATTCAAACTGTCCCAAACTAAATGAATAAAATCAATACCTACTCTTTGAGTCTCAGGACTAAGTTTCTCTAATCAGAGGCACACTCATTGACTACAAAGATCAGATGAGACGTTATCAAATCATTTAAGATAAAAACGAAAAAAGTCACAAACAGGTTGATAATGGCTCACTACAGTGAACTAATGTCCGTCTCTTGTTCAGTGAGATAGAAGGTATATCCAAACACAGAGGTCTCATCCTCATCTTGATCGCAATAGACCCAGGTTGGCATGGCGATTGCACTCTTCACTCTGCCCACACGAGGAGTCCCAGAGAGAGTTATTTGTATTTTACCTCTTTTCCTCTCCTTCTTCTGACGTTCCTACCCTCGGGACTCCCTCCATGTTTAGGGGGCACTTATCGCGTCAATAATCAAATTGCCCCTATTTAATTCAACTACGATATTTGCGCAAGACTCGCAAATGTCAATTTTTACAGACCCCTGGAACGCTTTTTTTTCTCTCCCCCTTTTCCTTCCTCCATCGCCATCCGCTGTTGCTTTCTGACGTAGTGCTACAGGAGGTATCCCAGCAGGCAGTAGCTCCGACGCCATCTGTTCCCTTCCTGTTTATTAGCTATGCCATGTGGATGAGATGAGAAACAAACAAATATGTTTTTAATTCCAAATTGACCCTTTGAAATATGTGGATCGATTAAGTAGTATGTTTTACTTTGAAGATGGAATGTGAAAGCATTGGAAATTGTTCTAGAAATACAATCCCTCAGGAAAGTTCTATTTAGAGAGATCCATCCCCTTGTTGATCCTCATGAATATTAATGAAGTCGAAGAAAGAGAATCCTGGGTATTTGGGGATTGTTTACTTCTTTGATCCAGCAAAAGCCCAGTAATAATGTTGGTGTTCATCTAGCAGAAGAAAGGGACTTAAATCCCTTTGCTTGTACTAGTTTTGTTGTCAGACACGTTTCATCATGGATCTAGAAGACAATCTTATACCCTACCAAGAAAACAGTGAACGTTGATCAGAAATTATACAATTCTCTTCTAGCAAATTGCTGTAAAAGAAACTCAGAAAAACTGGATGTCAAGTTGATAATGTGGTCAGTATTACATAGTATTGAGTATAATGCCAAACTTGTAATGCACTTTTTTTCTTCTGCATGATCTCCAATTTACTGCTTATGTTTTTAAAGATAATTTTGACTACTGATTGATGATTAAACTTTAAAGAATGAGTAAATCTGGATCGTTATATCACAGAATTTGTGTACTAATCACCAGCGAAAGAAAAAAAAGAAGAAAGAAAGAAATTGAGTAGTATTGACTAAAAATGTTGGTTTCTTTCTTCATCAGAGTTTGTATTTGCTCAAGTTTGTAGGCCAAGCATCGCATCAATTATCCATTTCACACTTGACGTGATGTTCATTTGAATTCCACTCAATTGCATCCTCCGAGATTCTGACAGTTTCACATTCTGGAAAAGAGCTGACATTTGGTTCATTTACACAGCCTAAACACCATTTTGACAAATCTTAGAGCGTTTTGACTGCCATTTACACTACTGAAAAAACCCATTGGTGAATAGTGTGCATGCCATCTTGCTGCTGCTCTGCATGCGATTGGACGGAAGCGAGGAATGTCATGTGACCAAAAACTGATATCAAAAACTGGAAATTACACTGCAAAAATCTGTGAAGTTTCTGCTGGTGTTGCAAAAACTCCAGAGGTGGATTTTTGTATTTGTGTTTTGTTGTGTTTGCCGGTAGTTGCCTAGCAACTTCCAATGAAGCACCGGAATTTGAGAAAAATCATAACTTTTTATGTGCAGTGTAAACGCGGCTCTTGTGGCAAAGAGCTGACCTAGTATCTAACAGGATGACAAAGTTAAACAATGACACGAAAAGCAAGATTCAGATCCTGTCTCTATCGTTTTCCCCAGTATTACATTTCTTCTGTCTCTTTTTTCCCTCATTTATTCACATTTTCAGTAATGCACTTATGATTGCTATGAAGTCTGTCTCTCTCTCTCTCTCTCTCTCTCTCTCTCTCTCTCTCTATCTCTCTTGCTCTCTGTGTGTCTGTCTTTCTGCCTGTCTCTCTCTCTCTCTCTCTCTTCATCACAGAGTTCCCTGTCTTTCACCATCTCTGTAATTCAACTTTACTTAAACTAACTTCTGTCTTTTAAATTTTTCTTACTTTATGAGCATTCCCTGACCTTTCTCTCTCTCTCTCTCTCTGTCTTTGTCTGTCTTATAAATGTCTCTTTCTTTCTCTCTTCCCGTCTCTCTCTCTCTCTCTCTCTCTCCCCCCCCCCCCTCTTTTTGTATCTGTGGATCCCATCATGGACCT